TTATAATACATCTTGTTATCTGCCAGTGTTAATCATCTGCAAGATTGCTTGGATTATTCTTGGATTCTTGCATTTCCATGTACATTTTAGAATCAGCTGATTAATTTCTGTAAAAAAAAACCTTATAATTTTTATTGGGCTTACATTTAATCTCTTGACATCTTAATATATTGAATTTTCTAATCCATGAAACTCTACATTTATTTATCTTCTTTCTCTCAATCATGTTTTCAGTGTAGAAGCTTATATATCTTTCATAATTTTATATCTATATTCATAAGGGATTTTGGTAAGTAATTTTCCATCCTTGTATCACCTTGTTGGGTTTTGGAATGAGGATTATACTGGCTTCATAAAATATGTAGAAAAGTGTTATATCTTCTTTTTTACTATTTCTTGGGAGAGTTTGAATGAAATTGGTTATTTTTTCCATAAATATCTGAGGAATTTCATAGTTTTGTTGTTGTTAATTAAATGAGCTATTACATCTAAAGCACTTAGAAAGTACCTGGCATTTAATAAATGCTCTAAAATACTAGCTATTCTTCTGTGCTTGACTATCCATTTTCCCCATGTAAAGCACTACATTAACATACCAGAACAGCCCGGTAGACTTTCTACAGAGACCTACATAAAGAGGGAATGTGCTTTAAGCCATTCTTCAGATGTCACCTTTCAACATTCATCCAATGATCAATTGAGCATGCATAATATTTTCAGAAGATACTGTATTTTGATTTCCCAGCCACTTTACTCCCATAAAAGTCGAATTACTACTACACAAAAGAGAGGTGGGTTTCAACAGAGCACAGTTTTAAATGATACAGATCACTCCATCTTGTACTCATGAAGAATTTTTTGTTACTAACAGGTGCACACTGAGTTCATGACACATCTACTTTTTTCCCTTAATAATTCCAGGCACCTTCCATTCTGAGTTCTTGTGCTCTCTCTCCTCTCCTTCTAGTGGAATTTTTCAAGGGGTACCTCCATGTGGTCTCCATTTTCCTAGGTCCACTCATTTCTCAACTCAAAACTGGTTTCATTTCCTACCACACTACAGAAATGACTCATCGCTAAGATCCCCACAAGTTGCCATGCCATTAAAGGTCTCTGTGCTGTCCTCAACTGAAGTGATCTCAGTGGTATTTAGCACTATAGACCACACCTGCTTTCTTGAAACACACTCTACCAAATGAATTCTATGACAGTATATGCTTACTGCTTTTTCTCTTATTTAATATTTTCTATTTAGCCTTAGTGGACTCATCCTTACAGAACTTTTTGAGTGTGGAGTCAATTTCTTGAAGCATGTGGCTGCAATCATTTCTATGAATGTTGGCCCTTATGTAAATCTCCTTCAAGTATAGTATATTTCTTTTCTTGGCTCCATATCCATATATTGTTACCTCTTTTGAGATCCCCATTTAGAGACTTGTCAGGTACCCCATATTCAACATTGTCTAAAACTGGTCTCATGCTATTCTTCTCATGGCTGCTCCTGTAATTCTCTCTTAGCAAACACCATACCATCTTCCTGGACCCCAAGATGAGAACACTGAGTGCCATCTTGAATTCTACTCTCTCCTTCACCCCATAGTCAAGCAACTGAGAAGTCCTGCTCATTTTTCCTCCTAACCATCTCACGATTTCACCTGTAGTTTTTTTCCATTGACACTATTCGAAGGTCCAGGTGACCATCAATTTATGAAGATTATTCAAATTAGCTCTTCTCTGAACATTCACAATTGCTGGTCTACCCACTGCAGCCAGAATACTCTTTTTAAAACTTGAATCTGCAAATGTCATGCCACTTTTCAAAAGTATCTGTTTCATGTCCGTCTCCACCAAGGGAATGCAGTCTGTTTTGTTCAGGTAGATCATCAGTGTTCCATATATGTTCATTAAATGATAAATGACAAGAAGAAAAATCAAAGTTTTTTTTTAACCATGCACAAATATATTTTCCTGTGATATGTAGGTAATGACTTCTCCAATATAAGACATCACTGAAAAGTTTATAGTTGACATGGCCAAAGCTTATAAATAATATCACACAGTATGAGCTGTGTGTTTAATACAAGAAATTATTTCCTCTGATAGACCACACTAATCTACCCATCTCAGCGCTCTGTATACATGAAAGGGCAGAGAAGAAAAGTTGACTATGACCCAATCAATTAATCAGGTATTTTCTGAGTGTCTATTAGGTGCCAGACAGGATGGTCTACCCAGTGGAGGACAGAGGGAGTCAAGGCCTCTGGTAATGATGAGCTATAGCAGAATATGGCAAATGCCAGAAAGATATGAAAGATGTGGGGGAGGGGGTGCAAGAGAGAAGGGTAGAATCTAATTCAGCCAAGGAAACAAAAGAAATCCTAATTGGGGCAGGAAACTTCTGAAAATTTTAAAAGAGGGTAGAATTTATTTGGACAGAAATGTGTGAGAAAGTATTCCTAGTGAAAAGAATAGTCGGAATAAGGATTAAGCTGGTGTAATGTAATTGGTACCATCGCCATGTCTTGTAAGAGGTTTTGGAGGCCTTGGCTTAGGGGGTGGTGATCAGAAATGGACAAGATAGAAATGGACAAGATAACATGGCAACACCGGATCTACAGACTTATGGGTTGGGAGATGGAGAAAAAAACAAAACAAAACATAAGGAACAAAAAAGGGGATGCCCAGTGATTCCTAGCCCAAAAAATGCCAGTGCCAGTAAGGGAAATAAGGAAGCTAGGAGACTATGGGTTAAGGGCCCTGAACACACAGAGGGAGAGATAACAATTTCTGACCCACTGAAGTAGAGATGCCTAAAGACATCCAGTCAGAGCTGGAAATGGGAGTGTGAGATTTGAGAAGAGAATCAGGAGAGCTTGGCTAAACTTCAACATTCCTACTAAATTATCTTTAATTACCATACTGAATCCACAATCCATAAATTTTATCTAAAGAGCATTCTGGAATCTCGTATGAGTTTGATTACTTGTATAAATCTTCACATTTCCCTTACAACGAACATTTTTAACGTTCAAAGTCTACTTAATCAATTAACAATTGTTTTCCACTTACAGTTTATTAAAGGTTGATTCAGTCCTGCTCTTGGTAGCCCAGCTGCTGTCTGTGTCCTAAACTTAATGCTCAGAATTCCCACTGGGCTGCAGAGGGAATAAGTCTAACTAATGATGCCTTCTTGTTGGACAAATTATTTCATTTTGAAATTGTATAGCAAAGGAACAACAATAAAGTATCGGTTCCACTTTTAAATAAATAAGGGGTTATTTTGCTGCTGAAAGTTTTCATTCAAATGACTGATCAGATCTCACATGTCTGTTTAAAAATGTCTGACTTAGGTCGTTACAAAATGACAGACTGTGATAAACTACATGATAGTTGGGAGTGAGACAATGAGGCATTGTTTACACAGAAGATTGAATAACTGGTTTAACAAAAGAGGTTCTTGGATATCTATTGTATGTACAACTAAGAGATTTACTGGAGCTTTTATAATTTCTGCAAGGCTCTTTTCCAGCCAGCTTCATTAACTTGAAGCAAATCAAATCATGCAGAAATCTGGCTCAGCCAGAAAGAAAACCAGGAAGATATAATATGAAGAAAAACAGACACGGGATGATAAGGTTTAGAATCTTTGGCATTTTTCATAAACATTTTTGTTTGAAGATTATTAAATTACAACCCAGAGAGAAAAAAAAAAAAACCTCACTATTAAATCAGGTCTTTTTACCTCAACTTTTCTTTACAACACACACACACACACACACACACACACACATATATGTTATATATAAAACTGCACAAAGTATGTGTCAACAAAATACAGTCTTTACAACATAAATATCATTTGAACAGAAGGATATTTGCATGTATTTTATATATGCATAAAACCGGGGTTTTTACTTGGGGGTACTATGAAATGGTGGGGTCTGAAGGAATCAGCTATTTTTTAAGACGACTTTGGGGTGGTGCTTTTCAAGGAATGGGGTTCTGAGATATATATGCATTATGTGTAGCTTATCTTGCTCCGGAACAAAAGATCGATTTGGACAGCTGAGTTATTTTTACTTTCTGCTCAAAAATGCAGGCAAATACAGTGATTATGACAATCAGGTAAAGCAGCCATAAATTGGTCCCTTGCTCCTCAGCCTATATCCATCTTCCTAAATACTCTCAGAATTCATTCATTCATCCCCCTCTCTCTGAAGCTCTAATATTGACATTTTATTTTGGAAATAAGCAAAGTCCAGTCAGAAGATATGGCGTTTGTAAGGCAACCAAATACTCTCATGTAACCTTCACTTTTTGGATGAATGGTCCCTTTGGACCTTCGCAGGGCTTCCACTGCCCACAACGGACTGCGATATGCACTGGCGTCCAGCACCGGGGAGCTGACTGCCATTGTCCACACACGTCTTCAGTAATCATGGTGCAGGACTCCCAAAGGCTTGGGCTAATCCTGGTAATTATTAAAAAATCTACTTATAAGAGACACTTGTTGGGGAGATGATGCTACTACCAGAGACTTGTGAACTCAGAGAAAGAAATGGACTCACATGCCCGATAATCTGAAAGGAGTGTGTGAATGGGAGAGGAAAAAACTGAATCTTAAGGAGAATCTGATGGAGGTAGGAAAACAAGTTCGGAGCCACACTTGCATCCAGGTGGTCTCCCAGCCATTCTCGAGGAGGCTATTCAGACCCCTGGCCGCTTTGCTTTACCTCCTATTTGAGAAGGGACCTCAGTCTTCCACGGTCGCTAGATTGTTTCCTTCTGACGGGCCGAGACGCTAAGCAACTAGCATACCCATGCGTGTGGATGTGTGCACATGGGTGTGCATCGGCGCATGTGGAGAGGCAGGGAGAGTACAGGGAGGGCTCCACACATTTCAGAATGACACCAGGGGTACCACCACGGAAACAGAGAGAGTGTTGGTCTAATCAACCCAACAGGGAATTGGGTGCTGGTGCCCAAGGCTGGCGTGGGTCCTAGAGAGCACTGCGCTTCTTCCGAAGGGGGCTCTGGCTGCTGCAGAGTTTCAATTCTGCATACTGCACCTGTGAAAACAAACAGACGGGCCGCCAGTGGTTAGGTAACCCTAGCTCACCACAGTGTGTGTTAATGGCTCCCCAAGGACAGACCGAGGCAAAGGAAGGAAGGTTCAAAGGTAATGAATCATTTTCTAAACACAGGAACATGGAGGGATTAATTGCAGGAAGGATTTGAGAAGTCATGCATCATTTCTTGAGACCAAAATATTAAAAGCAGATTTTTCTAATGAGATGCATGGGTTTCTACCTGCTCTCGGCACTGCCAGATAATTTTAGTTCTGTATGTGCCCGTTTTCAACCACAAGTACGCTTAATAACTGCCTCTTGGGAATGTTTATCTTAGTATATGATACAGCAAAACTTACTAAGAAATATTCATTTACAATTATCTAAAGTCTTGGGGAAAGAATTCTCTGCAAATTATATAATACATTTATGTTGCCAGGGAGAGGAAAAAAAATGTTGAAATGATACTGGCCACAGAGTTAAATAGATTTCTCTTAAAAATGAATTGCATTTACAATGTAATGGCTAAAACATCTGTGATAAATATGAGCACTCGGGGAGTCCCCAGTGGAAAACTGTCTATTGTGTTATTCGAAAGTGCTCTTGGGGATACATGGAGGATCTTACTAGCATACTGTATATCTTCCTCAAATGCTCTTTTGTAGCGTCCCTCTGTATTCACGTCCACTCCAACCGGATGGCCGCTCGGAGAGCTGGTGCCTGGACTATGTAGAGACAATCCTTGTGGTAGGGTGTGCTGGATGACGATTTCCTTTCTTCGAGGACACAGGGATGAACTCACATTGCAACTGAAGTGATGCAACTCAATCTCATTGCTTTGGTGTGTGGGTTTTGATTGGCTGACAGTGGAATGGCTTCATTTAAAGTATTGTATTACAGACCACATGTGCTCACTGGTTTTTAGCATTTGTGCCAAACTCCCCAAGGACACCATGCCCCATCACATATGTTGAGCTACACTTCGTCAAAAGGAGATACATGCAAAAAAGCACCCTTTCCTCAGAGTGTTTGGTGAAGGTCCCCTAGGGGAGCAGGGAATGACATACCTGTCAATCTTCAATGCGAAACAAACAGGGGCCAGGTTACTATTTTATAATCATGTAATGCAAATGTTAACGAGGAACCTCCTATTCATAGAACACATGTAATAGCTAATTATATCATAAAATGGAGATTAAAGAAAAACGGCGTCATGGAGTCTATTTTAATCTCTAGAACTCAGAATGAAGGGGAAAGAAACTGTAGGTCTTTTCAGCCCGAGTCACTGCCGTTGCCCAGGAGCCGCCGTGAACCACTTCTGTGACAGTGGCCCAAGGATGAAAATCGATACTTGATTTGGATTCTCTCAGATAATAAAGGGTTGTGTCTTTGATCATCATGTTGGTATTTACACCATGGCCTCCCCATCTACTCCTTCTATGATCTCTATTCTCCTTTAGAGAAATCATTGCCTCCCCTCCTTCCTCTGGATTTATAGCCACCTGATCTGCAGGGGCCTGGCTCAGGCTGCTCTACAAGACTTTCTGGTATTGTTGCCTGGTTTAATCTGTGTGTGCATCCACAGAGACTAGATGCTGCTGGACTAAGTGACCATTACCTGTGAATAATACTTCTGATCGATATCCAATTATTTCACACTATCTCTGCCTCTATGTGTATGAGAGTGGGTGGGAGCTTTGCCCTTGGCATCCCTAAGTCTTCGGAGGGAAAGGGATAGAAAGGAAGCCTAGCACATAACCAGGGCAAACAAGAATAAAAAAGAAGAATCGTCTTGTCCCCTACTTACCCTAAAATGCCTGCCGTCAGGAAGAGGAGGAAAATAAGCAATCCTCCCCGAGCTTGGGATCCCCCACTCTCCCACTCACTGAGCCCATCTTATCCTCCTCAGGGAGGCAAGCGATCAAAACATGGACAAACACCATCACACCATACCCACACAGTGTGAGTTCCAGATCATTCTTAAGTAGCCCTTTTTTGGGGGTAATTTTCCATAATCATCTCATGCTCTGGACAAAGGTTTTCCTGCCACCTCCCTGCAAGCCAGGCCGCTTTAAGGATTTTCTGGTGCATTATCTCAATTACATGAGCACCGCCCTGTGCTCTTCAGGCTCTGGGGCTGGCCAGACTTCAGTGCTGGGGTCCCCGTTGGCAGTGACCGTTCATTACGTACCTTTTGAACATCAGATGGTACCCTGGAGAGGAAGTCTAGCAGCTCATTATTGTCGATGGCATAGGGATTTCGAAGCTTCTTTGTAAATTTATTTATGCCTGAAAAATAGAAACACAGGGAGATCTCTTTGTCTATCTACCTATCCATCTATCTTTAAAAACTCTCCTGACTGGGGGAGGGGGAGATTCACAAGTAAAAATTAGTGTAATTTTTTACACTAGACCTCAAGTCACACACACACATGTCGCTGTCATGTGGAATCACTCACAAATGCCTTTTCTGGAAGGAAGGAGGGGTGGGGGGTGATTCTGTGGGACAGGAGTTCTGCCATCTTCAACTGTGAAAATCCCATTACAATCCCAGCAGCAGGGCGGCAGAAACAGACACTAAAACCGTGGAGCTCATTGGCTTTTTTGGACTACGCTGATTAACAGCCTCCTCTGCTAGGAAAACAAACGTCCCAGATGGGAAAAGGTCTTCATTAGCCCCAACAAGTCTCTGCTTGGGGGCTCTGGACCAAACGTAGCAGTAGGAGGTGGACGGCGGGAGTCGCTTTTTTGTTGTTAAAAAGAAACTGCAGAAATCTCTCTCCCCAACTCCAGCTCATTTTCACAGGTTTCTCTTCTCTCACTGCAGAACACAACTTGACGTGTTGATTGTACTTTGATGCTGCAGGAAACTGTGAAAAGTTATTATTGGAAATTATCTTACTATGGCTGCTAACTTAATTTATGGACCGCGACACTGGTGTGTGGGTTTGTCTAGTCAATGGAGTCCCTGCTAATTTAGGATGGGGACAGTGGTAATTAGAGGAGGTTCAACCCTTAAAGTGTCTTTGATGGCTGCACTTTGGGTGTGTGGGCATGCCCCGGGCAAGCTCCACCTGCGGTTTCCTCTCCAGAGGGATGTACCTCTCAGCCACCTATGTGTCTCCTCCTCTGTTCCTCCCAGCTGCTGGTAAGAGCTCAGGAGCTGTTGTCTTTCCTCCAAAGGTCAACTCTTTCTCATGCTGAGTTTTCCAAGCAGAAAGAGTAAGGTGGTGGGCTTCTGAAGTTCGGCCACAGAGTGCTTGTTTAGCGAGGATCATACCTGAAGCCCTGGTTGATCCCAGTGATGCTGAATGAATTCTCACCTTAGGTGAACCCTGACTGACTCTTCCCTCAAAGAGTCAAGGTAACAGTTAGCTGTCTGACGGTCCCCAGCCCATAAAAGCTTTGCTGTTTTTCTTCATTAAGTATTATTTTGCTTTCATCTAAGGACAGAACTTTCTGAGTGACATTATACCTGACACAATACCAACCTCCAGTCATTTCCTTAGAGGGTCAGATTTACATCTGCTTTGCAAATGGGAGCTGGCCATTGTTCATGAGTAAAATGGTGGCCCGGTGGTTGGGCTGGGGAAGGCTCCTTACAAATGATCCTTTTTCTCTCAAGTCAAAGCTGCACTCTGCCTTTCTTCTCTCTACCCCCCACAGCAAGCTTCATGTTTCTAGCTAAAATTTCCCCCAGCGTTCCTTTAAACTAAAATACTCTCACTGTGTTATTCTAAAGACATTTAATTGTAGCATGGGCTTTTTGGCAAAAGAAAACAGACGAGGCAAAATGATGAAGGGAGACAAAGACTTATTGAGAAAAGATATATCTTCTATTGTTAATTATATATAGTGTGCGCATCTGGAGTCTTTACAATGAACAGCAAGGCAGGGATAATCTCACAGCCGATCAAAACACTGCATTCTTTGTCACCGAGAAGATTATAAACCTGCACAGTAGCTCAAATGCACCAATAAGGGCAGAAGTGGCCCACAATGCACTGAGATTGTCTGTTTGAAAAACAGTGAGAATCAAAATTATAAGGCGCTCCGATTGCATGCTTCGAAAGCACACCTTATTTTTTTTTTATGTTGTCAAATGTCAGTAATTCCACAATATTAACTACTGTGTGAGACCAAGTGTCCACAGGGGCTCATGTACTCCTGGGTCCTCAGTAAGGGTCAATGGGTCAAGGAACAAGGGCTACGGAACAGGAATAGCTGGGACCGAGCTCTGGCATCACCAGGTATCTGCTATGTGGGTTTAGGCAAACCACTGGACCCTCCTGTGCCTCAGATTTCTTACATTAAAATCTGAATAATAAAGACCTGAGCTATATAGTGTCCTAGGCTGATGGGAGAATCACATGGACAACGTAAGCATGAGGATTCTGTAATCTGGAGCTCCATAACAATGAGGGGGGCTACCATCATTACTCAAGATGTCAACAAGCCAAAAACAAAGGGGTGAGAGAAGAATCCCTATACTATAAGGCATGTGAGTACACACCCAAATTTGGAAGTTGTACCTTTATCAGAGTGACAGACACACCTTTCAATATCTTTAACCTAAATGCAGATAGGCAGAGGGTCTATCTGCTCTGAATTTTAATTTTTTAGCACACCCAAAGAAGTGGGATCCAAATACCAAGGGATAACATTTGGCAAAGACACTGTCATTTAATGGTCCCAGATCACAGACTGAACTGATCAGTGGAACAGAATGAGCAATCCAGTTAAAAAAAAAAAAAAAATCTCTTGGAGAAAGTTGGAAAAACTGCATGACTGCTTTGCACATATGGCCACAGGTGAATAAACACTTGAAACAGAATTATAACACTATTTTTCAGATACTTGTATGAGTGCCTAGCATGTGGCCCTGACCTCAGTACATTGATGAGAGTGTTGAGATGGGGCAGAGGGTCCTTGCTTGCTCATGTATCAAACAGTAAGTGCTTGCCACATAAAAGACACTGTGTTATCAAATGGAGATACAAAGTTAGATAAGTCATGGGTCTTCTTTTCAAGAAGTTCATAATCTAGCTTGGGGAGTTCCTATCTACCTTGGAACAACAGAAGTATCCCACACCAGAACTGAAGCATCTATGCTGGAGAACAGAATGAAAGGAATATGGGAAATCTCTCAAAAGGGGCAGAAAACCCACATGGGATCTAATCCTAAGAAGTGCCTTGCCTTCTAGAAATACATCAAATAGGTGCTCAAAATTCAGTAGATATGGTTTCCTTCAGAAAATGTCAAATATCCCTCTTAAGCCACCTCTCACATTATTTTCTTTTCTTTTTTCTTTTTTTCCCTCACATCATTTTCAAAATCTACACTCCCACACAAGAGAGGTGGGTGTTGGGCTCAAAAGAAATGTCATCCCTGTACATCACAGGTATGAAATTTGCAGACATATTAAATATTTGTCAAGTACTTGTTAAAGATCTACTACCTATATATAGCTTCTCTAAAATTATAGGTTAAAGAGGAAAGAAAAATGTCTCACCCTTCAAAACCTGACAATGAAGTTGGTGAGTCAAGGAATATTCCTTATGGCCATTATGAAATTAGGCTGCTCTCCAGAGGCTTATGTTAAATAATCCTGGTACTTAATAAGTATTTCTACAAAAATATTATTTGGGTGTACAGAATATGGAAATATAGAATATACAGTTAAGTAATTTTGTTCCAAAGGGTTAAAAAGAGTGGACAAAAAAAAGGGGATCTTAACACCACTTTTAGGACTCAGTGAAAATGAGTAAGTAACTCAGAATAAGAAACAATCTTCTGATCCTTAGTAAAATTAAAAGGAACACTAGAAATGGAAGACATACGAAGTCATTTTCTACATGAGAAGTCTCTGACAAGGATACAATCATATAGGAGATGTGCAAAGGAATGTCCTGGGTCCATGAAGCTAATAACTAATTTGTCTTGGAAAAGAAGTCCTAATAGAATTGCTGAGTATATTCCAGGATGGCATGGCAGGTCTTACTCAATGAGGCAATAGATCATGTGTTGATTGTCAAGGCTTTTGACTACATTATATAAGGTGAGCTCATCAATAAACTATAAGCCCTTGTCCAGAACATAAAACTAAAGAACCAGACACAGAAGACAAAGCTCAAAGGGTTACTGTCAGTTCAGGAGAACATAATAAACTCCATGCTATTTAATAATTTCATCCCTAAGCTGAACGATAAATAGAGCAATATCTCATTAATGAGATGTAAAAAGTTGGTGTTTGAAAGCTGCCAAGATCTTGGAGGATAAGATCAAAAGTCAAAGCAATTTGGGATAAATAGAAAGAGGGATTGGACTTCCAAAACTGATGATCAAAGGAGGAAATATAGTATAGTCTTCTTTGTCGAGGGAAAGATGCAGAAAAACAAGTCAAGTATGTACCAGAATGATGAGGAGATCCTGAGAAACAGTGTTTGACAAGCTGACCATGCATTCAACTTACCCCAGCTTAAAAATGAACAAAATATTGGCCAACTGATTATAGTAATTTTGAATCATTTTTTAAAAAATTTTTATTGTTATGTTAATCACCATACATCATTAGTTTTTGATGTAGTGTTCCATGATTGTTTGTTTATAACACCCAGTGCTCCACGGCAGAACGTGCCCTCTTTAATACCCATCACCAGGCTAACACATCCGCCCACCCCCCTCTAGAACCCTCAGTTTGTTTTTCAGAGTCTATCATCTCTCATGGTTCGTCTCCCCCTCCGATTTCCCCCCCTTCATTCTTCCCCTCCTGCTACCTTTTTTTTTTTT